ACTCTCTCTCTCTCTCTCTCTCTCTCTCTCTCTCTCTCGCTATACAGAAATCTTTCATAAACTTTTCTTTTATTACGAATACGTTGCATATATGGATTTTCTATTGAAAGCAAAGTGCGAAGTTAGAAAATCAGTCGATTATATAACTATTTTAACACGTGTAAAGCTATGTACCTAATTATACAGATTAAACTTATCACATGAACAACTCAATTTAGCAACTTCGGGATGGTTTCTTAAGTACATAATACGGTATTGTGGCGCTCCAACTTCCGCCTGTGCTCTCTTCTAGCTCTATAAATTATATGCAAGTTTCCTAAGTTAGCATTCTAATAATTTCTCTTACACTGGTAGCTTGGTGTATCTTGAAAATTCCTGGTACATAGTAAAGAATAGTAATAACTGTACATATTATGAAAGATAAACATTAACCGAGCTAATAAAATATACAAAATAACGAGCTTAATCATTTTTTTATTCAACCAATGTTTGTGTACATGATGCTCTGATAACATCATTTTTTATTCAACAATTATATGAAAACTTTTCATACATTAATAAATACTCGTCGACGCATGCTTTCAACGCATTCATCTTAATCCTAATAAATTTTGTATCGTCTAAAATAGTATTTTTAACGAATGGGATGTAATTGTATATATTTGCAACTCGCAGTTAATTTTATGTTTTATATCATTTAAAAATACATTTAACATTTAATGTAATATAACATTGATATCACTAATTTATCACTCTGTATCTTTTTTAAAAATTTGTTATTTAATATGATTGTTAATATGATTGTTATAATCCCTGATATAACTGTCCACAATTTTCCCTTTCGTTATCTATGTTACTGAATTTTCTATGTTCAACAAAATCATCAAACAGATAAGATTATAAAAATTAATAGATTTTTGGTCAAAAAATCAATTATATTAATTAAGGAATACAATTTTTGGCAATTTTTTTATCTTTTCGTAAGTTAAAGATTTTCTTTACAAATTAATATTTCCCTGAGAGTTTAGGTAACATTTCTGAGGAGAGTTCTATAACTCAAATTGACTCTGATTGAAATGAAAAAGTTATTAGTAATTTTCGTATAACGAAAACGCGGAGTTGCTAACTTTCCTAAACAACAACAACTCATACGTGTAAGTAGTAGACTAATAAGCGAGCAATGAAACAAGTTTCTCGGCAAACTTTAATCTCTTTCAGTGTACTCTGTAACTCCTCGTCTCATTGATGAAACGTTGAAGTTTCATCGCCGGCTACAAGAGATATTTTCCGAAGAGCTTCTATTCTTCAAACAAAATATACTTTGCGTTCATTTTGACCTCTATCTTTCGATGAATAATGTCAATGAACTCGCAGGATCTAAATTCTCACGATGAATATTGATCAGCATCTCAATCATCTTTCAATGTAGTACTAACAAATATCTTGCCATAACTTTTATTAATAACATATTAAAAAATATATCTTGTAAGACAATAAATTGTTTCAGAATACCCTAAACACTTATGTCACTACTTCGGTAATAATTTAATCGCTTATTCAGTGTTAGATGATTATCCCATGCAAAAATCGAGCAGCTTTAATTGTATAATTATAATAATAGTGTCCCTTATTAATAAAATAAAAACACTTTTATTTATGTACCGTGCATAATTCTGTTCTCAATTTGGTATTAATATATCCCAAGATAGCGAGATGAGTGGAAACTCCTTGTAAACTGCACGGTTAAGATTGATTACACTCTCTCCACACTAGCACACATAATTCTATAAGCTTACCTGCTTATTTACGCTCTCAGCAGCTCATCTCATGAAGTAAAGCAACTCAGAGCGTTAAGTTACAATTAACGACATAATGAAAATGCAAAATTTTTGATGATAATATCTATGAAATATAGAGAGCTCCAACAAATATCGAATACTCTTTTAGGTTCTATAAAAAATTTGATTTTGATATCTTTCACACTTGGAAGAATATTGGAAGAATATTTATGGAAAATTGTGGAAGATCATTTACTAACTTTGCATTTTCAACATAAGAGATTTATAATCTTAAATTTCTTATCAGCATTCTTAAGCCAAAATCTGTTTGGACTTAAATGAGAGGCATGATTTTATTATTTATTTGTGCTATTAAGACTTAATTTGTCAAAAAAATTATCTTTCATTTTTATTTCTCAAAAAATTATATATTCTTGTACTAGTAAACATTACTCGTAATTTTATAATTATACTTTCTGAATTCATCTCATGTTTACGATTAATTTATGCATGATATATAATGTATATATATATATATATATATATGAATGTTTACATATTGTTTATATATAAGAAATATATAATATATACTTATTATAAACACTTATAATTATTAAATATTCTGTTATAATTTTCTTTTAACATTAGTAGCATTTATTTCATAATTGAGGCATTAATGATTAATCACAACACAATGACTCTTTTATAATTTTTTTTTTTATATAAATATCACAAGAGATTAGTTTGTCGGTATGCGCGCGTTATATGATATCTCAATTACGCTCAATATATTAATCGTTTATGATTAAATATATGTCAACTATGATTGATTATATAACATCATCAAAAATATGTTACACATAGTCAAAAGTGATTTGTTTTAACTTCCAAAATTTTTGTTGCGACATCAATCGCATATCACACTTTTCGCAAGTAAGAAAAGATTGACTTATTGAACACCTTGTGCGTATAATAATAGTGATAGAAAAGGTTAGCAGTTTATCGTAGGATAAAATACACTTTTAAGTGACGTTTAAATTTGATGAACGTCGTCACTCGAGAATAATCAACGTTGGAAGACGATAGCGATATAAAAAAATTTTTTATATAAGGCAGGATAATTGTTAAAAATGAAATAATAGAGTTGTCCGTAGAAGACAAGATATTCAACGTTATTGTATAAATATAATCGAGAGTTCATTGGCAGGTCCATTAAAGTAATATTTATACTCGATAATAAGCAACGGTGGAAGACATTTAATATGTGCAGAATAATAAGAAATCTTATAATGTCAATATATTTCTCCCGTAAAACGCGAGATAGTCGTTTCGTAGAAATGTATTTATCAATAAGCTTATTAACATGTTCGTTGCATCTATTATTAAGATATGTACAGATTTCAGAGTTTAAATAATTTCTAAAATATCAAATCTAAAACTTAACATTAAGTAAATCTATAAAATATATTGCAATCGAGACAATCTGAATATTATTAAAAAGCTGGCAAATAAATTTACAAAATGAAAAAAATGGCAGATCCAGTAGATAAATAATTCAGTATATATTTCATATTATATATAAACATTCTTCATAATGAGATTCGTATAATATTGAAATATTCACGATTATGTGAATTAAATAAATTAAGTACTTAAATAAACATTTAATATTTTTATCCGCAAAAATTTTTCTTCAGTTTTTTCTCGATTCCATTAATTTAAATTTTTTATCACAAGTAAAATAAATGGAAAACACGAAAATAATAGAATTATCTTTCAATATTCTGATTTTGCAACGAACATGCTTTTTGAAAAAGTTTATGACGAGATTTATATTTGCTTTGCAAATCGAAAGCACTAGTTTTGTAATACGTTTTTTCCTTTGATTTCGACAGACATAATGTAGTTTGAATAACTACATGTACCGACACTGTCAGCAATAGCAGGAACTCCTCGGTGGCGGAGTATCGCGCTCATGACATCTTAAACCTTTTTGATGTGGTAGCGGTGATTTGTCCACCGTAGCTTCCATCCTGCGCATTACGCGGTCCAGTAAAATTTCTACCGCGCGCTCGACATTTTGCCCGGTTGCAGCACTCGTCTCCAGGTAAACCAAGACTAAAAAAAAAAAAAAAAAAGAGTAAGAAAGTAATGGAGAGAAGCTCAAAAAATACTTTTTTTAATGTTACACATGTTTTAATTAGTACTGACTTGACTTACCCGTGTCTTTCGGCAAGATCTCGCGCTTTATGTTCACTGACAACGCGTTTATCTTCAAGATCGGATTTATTGCCACAGAGAATTATGTCTGGATCATCACAATACGCGTGTGTCTATATGTATATATACATAAAAATATGACACATTAATTGAATAAACATAGAAAATCGTCTGGGAAAATTATATTAGATCACAAAAAAATTTTTTATGCAAAACATTTACTATTAAATTTTATAATCAAAGAATATGTTTTAGATAAAAATGAATTTGTTATGATCAACACACAAGATTTGTATTTCTTGTATTTACTAACATTTTCAATTTAGTATTAACTTTTATTAAATGTTTATTAAATGTTTATTAAATATTTTTTTTTATTAGATCGAACGATAACTTGAGGGGAAAAAATACTTTACATATATATATATATATTTATTATTATAATTAACAAGCAATAGTATCAGCTAATATTAAGTAAAAACATCACGAAAGAATTTCCATGCATTTAATTTAAAAAATTAAAAATAGATTCGTGCAAAATAATATAGGAACTATATCACATTCTTCACGAAGATTTTTAAATATATTATGTAATTGTATCTGTGATTATTTTATTTACTCTCAATTTATTTTATTTTATTTACTACTTACAATCTATATAATCTTATACTCTTGCATTTCCAAATTTCTACGTTTCTGCAATATGTCAAATAAAAAATAGATGCAAGATTGTATTACTTAGTTTTTTCAGTTATATTAAATTACGGTAATTCTTTGAGGAATTTTAACAGTTCTTGTGCAATTATCGCATTCTAATGCAATATCATAAATATCGTATTATTTAAATGAATTGTATATTAATAATCCATAAGAATCCATAAGAACCCATTAAATCTACATGCTTCATCTTTCATGCAGTAAATATCAGTTCTTAAATTAGGATAACCATATTACAAGATATCAATATAAATATCACAACATTTGCATATTGCAATATATAATTGAAAAAAAAAACAGAATTTAAATTACTCAAAAAATCGTTCAATAGGACACGTGCGCAATTCCTCCAACGCGTGACATTTAATTAAATAATGCTAAAAAATTGATGAATACCCTAAGCTGCTCCAGCCAGTTTCTAACTTCAAGAAACGATGATTCATTGGTGAGGTCAAAAATTAGTAGGAAACCCATGGAATCCCGGTAAAAGGCTGTGGTTAGACTTCTGAACCTGGATATTAATAATGTTAAACTACTTGTGTAGAATGTTAGATTGGAAGTCTTAAGCCTTTGTTTGCGCATGCAAGATGTAATATCATACATATTGATTAGAATACCTATATGCCTTGTAACAATATGTACATTTACGTTCAAATTTTTTGGATATTTGCAACAGTCTGTACTATGTAATTTGGCATATACAAAGTTTCACAATTAAGTAAGTATAGTTAAATTATTAGATATTACAATGTAGAATATAATTACAAAATGGTATCTTGCGCGTCTTATTTTTATATTGCTTCCATCACAAATAATGTAATGCAAATACCTATGTTATACACGCACTTGCTAGAATCAAATGCCAATTCGTCAAGGAGTGCAAAAAATATATGCTATAGTACATTGATCCTGCCAAAAACCTTGCACTTGTGAAATATCTTTGATATTTACCTTTCCTGACCAGCTGTGTCCCAAAGTTGCAAGTGCACTCGCTGACTCCTTCCATTTGCTGTTTGATATATCTGTAATAACAAATGATTCTTATTTCTTATACACAGCTCTTCTATTACTAGTCATTAATAAACCCTGATACATAAACAAGATTAATCCTCATCTAATATGTCTTACTTTGTTTGTGTGAGCTCATTAATCATTCAACGCACTACTTTCACACCTCGCCTTCAAATATGATGTTTCAGAAGTTCTTTCAGAAGTAAGTCTCAATCATAATGTTATCACTCAAGTCATTCCTCGTTAGCTTACCACTCGTTTCTCCTTGAAATCTATCCCAACGGTGGATATAAATCGAGAGTTAAAGGTGCCATCGGTATACTGGTAGAGAAAGCTCGTCTTGCCGACGCCGGAGTTCCCGAGCGCCAGGAACTTCACCAGGTAGTCGTAATTCATTCTGTCGAGAAAGCCTTGGCGAGGTCAAGGATCTCGGCGGATGTTTCCAAAAGCTTCGATCCCAGGAAGTGTTGTGACGAGCTGAACAGCCGCGAGATCCCGTCCCTCCCTTTCTTCTCCTCGTCGTCGACGTCAATCGTGCGAACGCGTGCGACAATCAACGTGGACACCTGTTGCCTACGTGTGTTCCACTTTCGAAAAGGTCCGCGCCCCCCGTTGACGTGACACAGCACGCCGCCAAGCAGCCGCGGGCCGGTCGGTCGTCGTCCGAGAATCGCGTGCGTCTTCACGAATCTAACGCGCGTGCCAGATCGACAGATTATGACAGATAAACCGCGCGACGGCTAACGCACGGATCTGCGGCGCGGAAAGAAATGGCGCCGACGCAGGGCTGCCACAGCCGCCCCGACGAAAGCTCGAGGAAAACAATTGCCGGGAGCGATGATACGTTCAATAACAGCTGGAATGATTGACAAGTCGGCCATGAGTGCTCCTTTTTTTCTTTTTTTTTTGTAATATAAAACATGTACGACGCAACATCGAGTAACAAAAATACTTTGTTTATTTTGCGCGTAGAAGCTACGCTTGCATTTTATTTCCGACGACAATGCATGGCGTGTGTCAGAACAAAAACAACAGGAATGGCCTTCTGCCGACGTTAAAATGCAACGGTATTGTTTTTATTATAGACCGTTTTGTATGCAGAATAAGATTAGGTTAGGTTAGGTTATATTACGCTCTAACTGAGAATTGCTTTTAGTAAACGAACTGACTGAGGGCAAACTACAGCGATCGCCTATGACTTAAAGTATGATAAAATAATAGGAGAAATGGATGTGAAAATTGATGTTGAGTATTGGTAAGTATATGAAGATTATTCATTAACGTAGACTTTATCGAGTTATAATTAGCATGAAGTTAAATTGTTTTTAAGTACAATTTTTAAAATTATCTGTTTAACCAGGATATATACTACCTCATATGGAATTTTTCTTCATAATCTTTATAGAAAATATAAATTAATATAATATTAAAATTCCAGAAAATAAAGTGCATCTTATGAAAGGAAATTTATGTCTGTCTAATAACTTTAATCTCGATTTAATTTATTCTTTATCTCTTCCTAATTTTTAAGATTAAAAGACAAGTAAAATGTAAATTAAGTCGAGATTAAAGTTAATCCATATTGGTATAGATAGAACAGTAATAAATTGCTATAATTTTTTAGTGGTTCATGTGGGCACAAGAAGCAATTTCTTCAGTTGGCAGAGGAGATAAAAAAAAACGTTCCCAATGCCACTGTCGCTGGTACCGCAGGAAGACAAGGTAAATTGTTAACATAGCACATGAATATGCATGAACAACTGGAAGTCTCACATCTATTATTCTTTAGCCTCTTTCGAAGTGCAGGTCAATGATGAGCTGGTATACTCGAAACTTCAAACGCTCATGTTTCCCGACTTTGCTGCAATAGCAGATGTGATCAAAGATGTATCTGCAGGTAAACCAGTGAGAAAAGTTGACCAGCAACAGGCTGACTGTGTAATATTGTAAACACATTTTATTATATATCAGGTACAGAATAAAATTCATTTTATTAATATTTATTACAGAAATAAAAAATTATTATATATATAAAATTTTCACATACTTAATAATATATAGTACTAAGTAAAACTCTTAAACATATGAGATTCTTCTATAACTCGTGATAAGTTTTATGCATGAAAATTAGCTAATTATTTATTTAGAGAAGATTCAAGAATCTTCTCATTCAAGAATAATAGATATGATCACCAATCTTAAGTATACCTTGCGAATCTTCCAATCTAGTTAAATAGATCCCAAATTTTAACTTTCCATGAAACTCTTCCGCTAATGTTCGTAATGGTTCGATAGTTTTGTTCCCAGTTGTTTGATCAATGCATATCATTTGACATCTTGTGCAAGGACCATTTACCTACGACATTAAATGCATTATAGCAACGTACTTCATTCAGATCAACACTTCAATCAATAGAAAAATGTCTTTACTTTAAAATTATTATTTCCTATGCGAACATATTCCCATTGCATTTCATCAAAAGCTTTACAATTTCCTATAATAATATTTCCTCTGAATCGATGCACAGCCGTATCTTTCTTGAACTCCGAATCATCAAATACCTTATCGATAAGCCATGATACGCTTCCTTCATTTATTGCCAAATATTGCGCTTGACTAGAAAATGATAATTCCGCTTTATTTGTTCCTACAAGAGAAAAATAATGATGAATTTTCCAATAAGTAAATAATTTTCAAATTTATAATATAACAATATAATATAACGCTTTCACATTTTTATCGTACCTTTCTTCTGTCTGCTATGACTTTGCCGAATTAATCTAAGATTTGGTTTGCCCAATGCCAAACTAAGCCACTCGGAAACCTCTGATCCACAATCAATACCTTGTACTCTACTCTCACATACTCTGCTTTGACATATAGGATGTTCCATTGACTGTTGATAAATATTTTCTAAAGGTATCTCGATTGTTGGCATTCCTAAATTAATTCATTAATTCATTTATATTTGAATAAATTATATTAAGCTGTATTGTAGAATGCAAAATTTTTAAAACTCAAACGTTCTTACCTGGATATGTTAGTTCCATTATCTTTTGCTCTTTAAAAATAACAGGCTTAAGCAAACATAGATTTATATGATGCTTTTGCGTCAAACAAGTTCCGGCAGATGTCATTATCATCCATTCTCTGTCATATTCTAAACCTTTCGAATTTAAATTCCACGAGTCTACAATTTCATATGCTCCACACGATTTGATAGGATATATAAATAACCTTTGCAAAGTGCATTTGTTTATGTGCGTAATTATTTTGCTAGATTTTATAGAATTTATAACATGATCGAAGCTTTCACTTTTATTATAGAAATCGTTCCGTAAATTATTGTTTATAATATTTTTCTTACTATTTATAATATGCGGAATAGGATAATCCAAAATGTTGGAATTGTAAAAGCGTTTGTGGCTTTTATGAATATCCATTTTCCGATCCTCCCACCATTGCGGAAGTTTTCTAATACATGGTTTATCCACGAAACATTTGATAATCATAAGCAAGACCGTCTGAACATCTTTAATCGTAGACATATATCCAAATGAAATTCTTACTGCTCCGGTCGGTTTCCCATTTAATAAATCTGTGGTGCCACCACACGTGTAACCCGCCTCGTAGTTTTGAAGAATTTCTTTGGTCGAAAGGGATAAGTGTCTCTGACACGCACCGGGATTACAAAAACAGCCTGTCCTAAGATGTATCTTAAATAACGCTGCCATATTTACTACCTCCATGTATCCCACATATTCACCATTCGATCGAATGAGATTAAATGTGACAATGCCACCTTGCGAGACGCGATCCTCGTAATCGGAATCCGAATAGAGCTTTACAACCGGTTTACCATTGCAGTGATGTAATGTCAATAAAGAGTAATGCAGAGCTTTGGCGAGAGAAAAAACGTGCTTCGATATTTGGTCCATAGTCAGCTTCGAAAGTATCTCGAAGCCATATTTTAACGACGCGATGGATAGAAACGGTATGGTTCCATCCTCGAATCTGCGAATCAGAATAATTCATAAAACAATCCATTTATTTTAGAGCCAAATGCGATTTCCGCTTACCTTTGGTGCAATACCTGACGTTTTCTGTGAAACCTTTTGGTACTGAGAGCGACGTTCACAGTACCACCGCCGTAATAAACTTTCTCTAGAACATCCGAGCTGACGTTCTTAACCAGCAGGGCACCGATACCGGTGGGATAGCCAAACATTTTATAAAAAGACAGACACACGAAGTCTGGTTTGAAAACAGATAGATCCAAATTATTCGTTGATACGAAGCTGGCCGCATCGAGCAGAACGTACCACCTGGTTGACGGTTTATTTGCGAAAGTAGACAGTGCTCCAGCATGCGCGTCTGCTATCCATTCTAGGGGATACTTGAATCCAGAAAAATTGCATTGCGCGGAATACACGAAGAGAGAATTGTCGCTTTGTCTCTCGTCGGGCTCGCGCCGGGTCGAATGCTGATCGAAAACCTGAAACGCCTGATTGTGGTCTAGGCAAATGACCTCGGCACCTCTGACACCGACGACATCCCGCATCCCGAGGACCGACGTGTGATTATCTTGCGTGTAAACAAAACTCCCAGTTGCCGTCTCGCTATTTCCGTCCGATCTAAAACGGAATCCTTCCGCGATTATCTTTAGGCTCGCGGTGGCGCCCGAGGTGAAGATAACACTGTATTCGTCGGGATTCGTGTTGAAGTGGCTTAGAATTCTGAGAAACGGTGATTCAAATTAACTATAAATTCGTTATCGGGCACGCGCCCATCTATCTGCAGTTGCGATCTCTCACCGGTATCTCATACGTTCGATAATGTCCTGTGTCGACGAACTCCCGATACCAATGGAATGCGGATTAGCGTAGAGAGAGCTTTGTAGATCGGCACTGACATTTTTGATCTGCGCATCCGAATATAGAGTTGCGCCTGCATGATCCACATAGCACTCGCCTGAAAAAAAAGAACAGATAGAAATCAACTTGCATTAAATTAAATTGAATTAATATTAAAATAAATACTAAATGCGACATTTGTTTACTATGAAATAACTCCTGTTATCAATCCTAGTGGTGAGTCAATATTTCAGATTTTTTATTTTCATTAAATAAACATGTTTAATAAAATTTTAAAAATGCAAAATATTAGCAAAATTTATATCACATTTGCATATTCGAAACCTCTCAAAGTTGTCGAAAAATTTTTTTATTAAGCTTCCTTTAGCCAATCAATTTTCGATCTTTCAACTAACAAAAACATCAGAGCGCCTATTATTTTCGTATTAATTAATCATTGAAAATGCAAAATCAAAAATTTTACGAGAGAAAATAGATGATAAAGTTATATTCTTTAATTAATTTCAAATAGATCTTATTTTAATATCATTTAAATTTCGAGTCACCAAAATATTTATCGCTAAAAATTGAAAAGAATATGATAAATTATTATTTTCCTCAATGTTTCTGCAAAAATATCGCTGATTGCAAGAACGTCCGGCAACTTTGAGGCACCCTGTATAATAATAGAGGCTTATTACATAAATAGCTACAAAGCGATGTCATCACGCATCCGTGTCCTTGTCACGTCACTATCGCAGAACTGAACAGAACTGTCACATGAATAACTTCTATTGTAAAAAAAAACAAAAGCTTCGAGAAATCATTAATGGAAAGCTGGATATATAGAATTTATTAATGAAATGCCAGAACGATATCTAAAACAATGGAAACGCGAGATGACGAAACACTGAATTAGGTCTTATGAAACGGAGTTCGCCTTACCTTCAAGCCTGGCGAATTCGCTCTCGAGCCATCGCGCAGTGGCCTCGTCGTAAACCGGTATGAACTCTATCGTGGTCTCCACCATGTCGATCAGTTCCTGTACACCAGATCTTGGAATTCCGTGACCATGCACCAATCTCCACAAGCCCACTATCGGTGGCACGCCGAAGAGATATGCGAACGATTGCCCAATCGAGTTTCAACTGCAGTCGCAACTAAAACGTTCAAGGATCAACGGCATGAAAGTTCGGGTGGAAGGAACCAACGACACCACGACGATTGCGTGCAGCCAAGCATATCGATCTCGCTCGTAACAGATAATTAACGTGGATTATAAGGGTATCCGCGCGGGATAAGACGGATGTCATTATCGAACAGCAAAACCCGGGACGAGTCTCTCCACGCGATATCTGTCGTGGATATAAAAATACAAAAGAATTTCTTATACTTCTTATACGTGTCTATCTATTGGCGCCCGTTCTCCCGTTCTCGTGTAAATTACTGGGGAAGTAAATAAAAGATAGAGATTTATCATAAGATTGCGACACGAGAAGTGACGTCTGCATTTCATCACGCGTTGATACGTAATTATTTACGTATTATAAGCATCTCCGCCGTATGATGCTTCTTATATCATCAAATTACGTCAAATTTGGAACGTTAACAAATATATGATTGGTTGCATAGAAAAGAATAGTTCACTAATAGTTCAATATTTAACATTTGATATTATTTAACATTTGATAAATAATATTGTATTTTATAAACATAAATATTTTTAATTGTACAATTTCTCGCTTCTAAAAGATTCGTGTGTTATAATTTGTACGTATGACATTTGCAGATATTAACATCGGCACTGTTAAATTGAGTTAATAAAAAAACAAATTTACTTTTTCAATAGTTCTTTTATATGTCGCCAGTCGTTAGTTACTAATTATTCGGAACTGCTTCTAAAATACGCACGCGCTACACCGTACACTCGTAGACTAATGCTGGTATACGTTTTTACATTGAATAATAGTCTTCTTTTTTTCTTACGTCAAGTCTTATACAATTTATAAAAGTTGCAAAGTAATAGTTTTGTAAGAAGATAAGATACTATCCTTTATCATATACATTTTGAACTTCACTTTGTACATGACGAGGTGGCCGAGTGGTTAAGGCGTTGGACTGCTAATCCAATGTGCTCTGCACGCGTGGGTTCGAATCCCATCCTCGTCGAATTTTTTTTATTTTTTTATAGATAGATTTTTATAAAAAACAAATTTGATATTTACAACAAATTTGAAATGTTTATTACATAAATATCTGTTTTTTACATAAATAGATATTTAAATTAATTTATATTTAAAATAATCAACAAATTAGATTTTATACGAAAGTAAAGGAAATGGATTATTTTGCAGAAGAGCTATATGAAAGATTAAAAATAACGATTGCACATTTTAAATCAAATTTATATTAATCGATTCACAGCCTCGCGTTCGAGATAATTTCGTAAATTAATCCTGTAAAAAAAACATTTTGTCAGCGATAATTTGTTTACGATTCGCTTCAAGATAACATTGTTAACTTGCTAAGTGGAAATTTTGTGAACTCTGTCTCACATCGAAGTGTGTAAAGCGTCAAATGTCGATGTACATATATAGTAATAAGAATCGCTTTATACTTTTCATACTTTTATATTTTTATAAAAATTGAAGAATTGTCAATGTTACGTTTGCTGAAAATAAAAAATTTGTGGGGTGATATTGGGTCACGGACAGAAAGACGGACATATGTAACCTCCGCGTGAAGCGTACTTTTACAAAGGAAAAAATTCGACAACTTATGTGAAGGGGTACGCCTGTCCGTGACCTAGCACCATCAGCTAAAGCACAGTGGTGACCAACTTTGCGATAAAGGGCCTCACCGATGTCTTCCGAAGTATTGCATAAATCTCATACATCTTTTACTCTCATTACAGACGATTTGGCTAAATCTTTAAGGATCTCAATATACTACATTATAATTTTATAAAGAGAAATCCCAGAAAAGCAGCTTTCGATCAAACATTACACGGTTATATACATGGTTATATTACGTGGTTATTTCATAAATGTCGAAACTGACAACAAAATTGAAACTCTTGACGTTTGAAGTACTGCAATTCAATGTTCAAATTGTGCAAGCGATTATAAAGCGTAACAACTTGCAGAGATAATAAAGTGTTATTCCTCAATGTGACAGTTTACTCGTGTTCCCGGTATCATATTAAAAATCCATTAAGTGTAATTTATAAGTGGAACATCGAGAGGAACGAATATCATGATCATTCATTTTCTCTCGTATCTCTTATCGTCCCATTTATCATTTATTGGATTTAATCTGTTCCCTGATATAATCACGCTGATATTACTGTTTGCGTATATTTACGAAGAAGAGAGATTAGGCTTTCTTACAAATTTATATAAAATTTTCCATTTGTTTAATTCGTTTCTAGCTTAAGATTAAGCGCATTAATCATTTTCATTGAGATATAAAGATCGACCTTAAGATTGAGGCGAGGCAAAGAGCAAATTTACAAGCGCCAGTCTCATTTTGTCTCATTTTAATTTATGATGGAAGCAATCGTTGTTTTTTTCCAAAATATATACATGAGATAATATTCGAGGTAAAATTTCAATTTAAATTTAATATTCAAGGCTACATGTGCGATCACGCCTATTTCGTATCTAATAACATAACGAGAGCACCTAAAATGTGTTACGTATTTCCACTGCTACACATATGACGCGTATTCCAGTACGGGAATTTGGAGAAAGTGCGTCCTTGGCAAGTCCTACAATATCATGGTGAGTTTATATAAATGTATCATATTACGTAAGAAGAGATATGCAAAGTGATACGTAAGAACTGCACCATCTAATTTCCTTTTTATCGAATGAAATAGATTAATCTCAATTACATCTCATTGCATATTTGCAGGTAAACGAAATATCAGAGTAAAATATAAATAAAATGATTTCCCCAATTTATAATTAATATTTATTTTAAAAAAAATTAAAATCAATTCATATAATTTACAAGAGACATTATGCAATCTATATTTTGTACAAAAAAATTGCTGATTACAAATAAGATTTAATTACACGAGTATTTATATCTCTTATCGCAAAAGAGATTTCAAATTCCATTTCCAGGATTACAATTGGATATTTATTCAGAGAAATGATATGTGAAGAAACGCGAGTATCAGGACAATGAAATCGAAAGTAAGCCTCGACATTTTATCGATGCGTTTATCTCTTATTTGAAAATATTATATATATATCTGTCGGATATGTTGCCCGATTGTCACCGACAGTCAAGAATAACTATTGTCCATAAGTGTTGCTGCTCCTGACTTTTCTAATAAATCATATAGTATCAGATCTGCGATCTGTATTTCTTGGGGAGCCACACCCGTAATTCGTTTCCCCCTCGAGCGAGTATCCTACCTCTCCTTTACGTCTCCTTTCGTATACTCCTTTCTTGATGATTTCCCACAAAGAAGTCCCATATGTTTCCCACTCCCATCGACCATGCCCAATCACCTCGAACAAGGTATGCCCAAAATTCGATTGAACCCCCTACAGCCTCATTCGCGTATAAATAGTGGTCGACAGCTACCATTTCGGCAGAAACCCAGTAGTTGTTCCACTTCAGACGAGCAAAATGGCATTCAAGGTAAGAACGTCAGCATCGTCGGGAAATTATTTTGGTGTTTTGCACTGATTAATGCAACGTGCACGGGATGTAAATTTCAAAATATTAAGAATGACAAAATTTCCTATAAAAGACATAGAAAGAAGAGTGAAAATATCGAAGTATTTATTTGTATGTTTTGCTTTTTTGTATATATTTATATTCATTACATTCTTAATGAAGTACAGTAAAGCATGAAATAGATAAATGGATCACAGATAAGTAAATTCTGATAATTTTATTATTATACAATCGAGTATCATTCCTTTAAATCTATGAAAGCAGAACAAGTGTATTTTTCTTAAATTTATTCATCTACATATTATGTTAATTGCAATCGATATACTACTATCGATGATCAGCACTCATTTCTTTGCAGTTTATATTGCTCGCAGCGTTCGTCGCGGTGGCGAGCGCCGGCGGTCCGGCGGCCTACGACATCGGCACGGTGTCCGCCGATCACAACAGCATCGGCTACAGCCAGGAGTCCACGCAAAAGGGCTACGCCGGCCAGAATGTAGTCTCGACGTACAGCCGCGCCGAGGACTCCGCGCACTCGTCGGTACGCGTGAGCAACAGCCGCGTGAGCAACGACGCTCTGTTGGAGCACCACGCCATCGGCTACGGGTACGCCGCGCCGGCCTTGGCCAAGCCCGTGATCGCCGCTCAACCCGTGATCGCCAAAACCGCTTATGCCGCGCCGGCCTTGGCGACCTATGCCGCTCACCCTGCCCCGTTGCTCGCCAAGACTTACGCCGCCCCTTACTCCGCGCCCGCTTACGGATACGCCGCCGCGCCCGCTTACGGGTACGCCGCCGCCGCAGCCGCGCCGCTCCTGGCGAAGACGACGTATGCTGCACCCGCTGCCTACGGTTACGCGGCACCTGCCGCCTATGGCTACGCCAGCCCGCTCCTGGCCAAGACCTACGCCGCCCCGGCTCCGTTGATCGCCAAGCCCGCGTACACGACTTACGCCGCGCCGGCAACACCCTTGATCGCCAAGGCCGCTTACCCGGCTCCGTTCGTGACTAAGGCCGCCTATGCCGCCGCGCCGATCGCCGCCGCCCCAGTTTTGGCCAAGACCACGATCGCCGCGCCGATCGCCGCCGCGCCGGCTCTTTACACCGCCCATGCCGCCGCCCCGGTGATCGCCAAGACTTATGCCGCCCCTTACTCGTACGAGACCGCCGCACCCGTGGTGCACGCCGCCTTCACCGGCTTCGGCACTAGCTATTCCTGGTAAACGATTCCGATAACTGCAGATCTCTCGCGATCGGCGAGAGTTCCTCAACAGTATCGTAACCCTTCTTCTGGTAACACACGCAAGATTTTGTATTACGTAGATGTGTATATAATATTTATAATATGTAATGTTTTTATATTTATACCTCATTGTATACACGTGTATTCTACTCTATCCACGAAACCCTCAGCAGGAACACACATGGAAAACATGTTTTTTTTTAAATTACCACACACATTTACAAATTATGATAGCAAACGAAAATTTTTACTGTACTAGATATGAATGAAATAAACTTGTTAATACGACAAGAATGCTTTTACCTTTTTAATTAGCACATAATTTTTCTGCTAAATAAGTAGGTCGTTTAAAAACTGAATGTGATTAGTCGACTCTATATTCTTGTCCTTCCCTTTCTTTATTCACGTATGAATATCATTAATTTGGGATGCATAAAGAGTCGCGTGCGTGTACGCGAATACAAAAGACTAGAATACAACGATTAGCATCCTGTGTAAAAGAGAATGTCGCCCAATTCTAGATGAAATTCGTAAAAATTTGCATACAATGGATGATCGAAAAATACATCGATCATTCGACACATCGTTGCGCGAATTCACTTAAATAATCGACAACAAGCGGACTTTCACATATGACCGGTTTTCACATAAACAGACGCGATGATGAAATGATCGACGCATGATCTAGTTTCTTGAAGCAAAATTCGATTCAACCTAGGCTAAAATATTTCGAGCGGTTTATTAGTCTTGCTGAACCGACCGATGTTAATTATTAATATATCAAATAAATCGGCAGAACATAAATACATGAGAGCTGAAACTAATTCAAGTCTTTCTCATGTTCTTATAAATCTTAATCATGTTTCTCCTCTACATAATTAATCCTCTGGAATTCACATTAGGTCGTATTGATCCAAAAATTTTCAACTCTATTTTGAAACATATTGTTGAAATTTTTTATTTTTGCAATAGAAAAAATATCGTTTATGATTTAGAATGTGTTAATTTTGTTGATCGATTCTACTAAAACGCAAAACTGTTTGAAATATCAATGAACAAATCAATATGATGATGCCAAAGGCATATTCAATTTTTTAAATTTATATACAGAATGTTCCGCCACTACCACGTTACTTCTTTTCTGTATTTCAATTTGGCGCTTTAGACGCGCGCATAACTTTCAGACTTGTTCATGCTTGCACTTCTTAGCATTTTCTGAAATGAGATAAACATATATTCGAGTATTAAATAAAGAAAGACCGAAATCATCCGAGTGCACAGAGTGCAGGCGGCACGACAAATCTATCGTCCACGTGTCTCATGAGTTGTCACGAAATTAGCGGGAAACGCCAATCAGCTGTTCCGAATGATAGGTTTACATCGTGGGAGACAACCTCGTTGAAACTGAAATCGCAATAAAACGACGTAGCGATGGTGCAAATTGTTCGTTGACAATCGATCGAACCAGTCATCGTTGATGGATCCAATCAGTACGAAAAGATTTTATGGCGGCAGAGTACAGAAGAAGAAATCGTCCAAGTCCAATGTTTGTTGGGTGAAAACGTATCGCGTCATGCCCTCGCACATACTCGGCCCGACGCAATACTGGCAGGAATTTCATAAACAGGCCGATGCACTGGCCACCGCTGCTGAACGCAGCACCAAAACCGACACGCTCTGTACATTTGTGTATCAGCGACCCAGCGACGGCAGTCGCAGATTCGTCGTCGCACACCCGGAGGTTTACTGGTGGTATTACAAAGCCAAGCCGCAAGAAGAGAGATGCTCGTACGAGGTGAATACCGTCTGCTTTGCATTTATGAAAACTGAAGTCTTGGCCTATTTTTTTGACTATGAGAATATCGAAAACTTTTTCTTCTCTTTTATCACATTCTTAATACTTCATTTCAGTTTTATTCATTGATTGCAAATATGTAATGAATACTTATTAATTAATAATGTTTAATTAATTAATGTAATTACGTCACAATTTCATAATATATGACAGTATGTTTGGATATATACAAATTTTTTAGTTCAAATTTGAAATTATGTCTTCACGTCAATCGTTTCACGTTTTAAAATATGAAAAAAATCATATTTATAACGGAATTGTAAATTAAGCACAGGTAATACCGAAGGATTCACCATGTTGGTTATATCTGGACTTGGAATATCCGATCGAACTAAATCCTCTTTGCAATGGTCCACGCATGACTAAGATGCTAATAGACATCATACGAGCATATTTACTCCATCACTATCATTTGTTATGTGATAGAAATAATTTTTTAATATTGGATTCTACATCCAGCAAGAAATTCAGTAGACACGTAATTTTTATCCTCAAGGATATAGCCTTTAAAGATAATTCACATGTTGGAAAGTTCATTAAAACTATATACAATGATATCTTGCTTTACTTGAAATCGGACATGTCGCATGGAATTTTAAGTCATTTTAACAAAGCAGATATCGAGGAAATGCTCGTGAAAACCGAGCATGATGAAAAATTGTTTATTGACAATGGTGTCTATACAAAGAATAGACATTTTAGATTATACCTGTCTACCAAGTGGGGAAAACAGTCATATCTAACAGTTTCTGAAGATTGTACACATAACGCAGTGAACAAACGCAGAGAAAAAGAACTAGGAATCTTCCTAGACTCCTTGATATCGTACTTTCCAAACAAGCAGAATTTAATTCTGCTAGAGTTTTTTAATCGGACCGATGTAAAAACTCAACGTTACATAAACGTGCCAAAGAAATCCATTCACGAAAATGATAACCAGACGTCACCATATCCCGAAATAGACAGATACATTAGCCATCTCGTTGATCCTGGCAAGATACGCATCGTTAAGTATTCTGAAAAAGCTAATACACTGAAATACGAAATTTTAGGTAACAGGTAATATAACTAATTGTCAGTTGCATTAAATTTTATTTTTTTCTATACACTCGTCTCCCTATATAAGAAATAGCGCATAGTATTAATTTTCACATTATTTTACAGATACTGTGAAAATATTGGCAGGTATCATAAAAGCAATAATGTATATTGGATCGTGGATCTAAATACAAAAAAGATCTATCAAAAATGTCATGATACTGACTGCTCGGGTTTTGTATCAACAGCAAAGAGTTTATCAGAAGAAATTCTTTTTAAATTAGATATCGAAGGTGATATTTTCATGTCTCATATAATAACAGATGAAGATATTGCAGAGGAAATTTAAGTTTATTAAATATTTTAATAAGCGCACAAATATAATTTATATAAAACTGTGTATAAAAATGCCTTAAATTATTTCTCAATAAATTTATTTTTAGTATATTTTTCTTCAGTAATAATGCCCTTTGATAAACTATACACTGAGAAATAATAAAAAATGATATGTAATATTTTATATTAATTAGAAATAGAGATAACATTACTATTTATTATTAACATCATATCATATTAAAATGTTTATTACATAATATTCTAATGAAAATTAATACACTTTTTCTATTACATAATTTGAAAAGTTGTGCAATATTATTTTATGTAATATATTTATATATATTTACATTATTCGTATATACATGTTCATTATATATATAATACAATATACTTAAAATATATTTGTATATATCCTGTATTTCGAATAATTAAATAAAAAATATAAATTTGATTTTGTATATCTTTGCCTAGAATTTTTAAAAATTGTCAATATTTCTTGAAATAGACTTAATATAATATAGCAATCAAAATTTTTTATTTTATCATTTAACTCTTTCAAGTGTTTATATGTTCTAAAAAACGATATTAATAAATATTTGAAAAAGTATACTATGAGAAAAAAACCGAGTTTCTTTGGTATAAATTCATGTTTGTAATATATACACATAAACATAAATAATATATAAATATATACAAATATATCTTTATGTATCTCATATCTATATCTGTATATATACATGTATAGATATAATGAAATCAATTTACTTTGTACAGACGTTTTATGTTACATAAATTATCAAATTGAACCAACTGTTAATACATTGTTTTCAGTCTAAAACAAATTATTTTTTGTTTGCTCATATTCATTACTATTTACGATACATTTGTATTTCATAATATAAATTTTCAATGAACAAATGGATTGACGATAACGTACTTTATCAGTCTCATTTCTTGATTATTATTTTTGTTTCTCCTTTATATAAAAACAGAAAAATGGAAACTAGTTTGAGAAAACGATAACTGTAAATAGTTATGCCCTTTCATGCACTTTTATTCTTATAGTTTAAATTGAAACCACATACTATTTGTCCAATATATGTTAATAAAATGTCACTTGATCCACAGTATTAATCATCCACGAATCTGTTCTATAGCTTTATCGGCAGGTTATTGTTCTCTCCATATGTCACGTTAAAACATCTACTAGTTAAAAGTTATTTCATTAAATCCATTTGTCAAAAATCCAAAAAAGCAAATAATTTCGTAAGATAAAAATAATGTAATAAACCTTGCTCTTCTTTAGGTGTACTATTGGTGTCCTTATTTTCACTTTCCATTAAATTATTTTCTTGTACATCATGTGTTAGATCTAATTTGTTAGTATCTTTAATAGAATCGTCTTGTTGATCTTTGTCCTTCATTGATTTTTCATTAGTTTTTAACTTATCTTCTACATCAACTTTGATTTCTTCTTTGGAAATATCTTTCTCAGATAACGTAAGATGATCAGGAGCAATATTTTTTATCAGCTTATAGTTTTGGTAATCTTTTGAAGCCTGTCTCATACGAACTAGAAAATCTGGTAAACCTAACATAAATATTATTATTATTATTATTATAAATTCATTGAAAAAATCTTGTAATTTACTTTAATTGTAACAAACCTCTTAATGCTACCCATGTAGTGACAGCAGGCGGTACAGCAACACCAGGATCATCGAAATAAGTAAGTCCAAATTCAATGCCTGGCTCATGGAAATCTGTATAAGGTTTTATCACCATATATGACCAATATGTTTTGACCCTGTTACATACATTGCATTATTCATTAATCATTGACCAAGTATTCATTTTAATATTTACAAAAACAAGTATTCATTTTTCATTTTAATATTTTAATATTTAATTCTGATATCTCAAATATTAATTATTAAATTAATTAAAGTAAATCGTTTTTGTAACAAAATATAATATTAAAAATCTGACTAACAATTTCATGTTTTTTTCATATTATAAAATTATAAATTAAAATGTTTCGAATATTATGTCGATGTCTTCTATATACCTATAAATTCCTCGTCTTTCTGGTACATTGGGATGTTCCGTCACTCGACTGACAATAACTATAAGTCCTGTTTCTTTATCTATTACCCATCGTCGTTGATAAACATAATCTCTATTAGAAAATAATTTCTACACAAATACAAATCAATGAATTATTAAGCAGAATATCCAAAAGTAGTATTTTATATTATACTTACAGGCCAGATCATCTCCCAATGGATAATATCAGTGCTACGATTAACAGATGATTCGGATTTTGGATCAGTCTCAATAATCTCTAACTCCTGAGCAGTAGGATCCCATTGTTTTCTATAATCCACATCAATTTGTACTTGCAAAAAATCTTCAGCAGTAACATCAGAGAATGAACCATACACTTTATAGGCAAATAATCCCCCTGAATCAGGCTCTATTTTCCTCCATATCAGCATATCTTGACGCTCAATGAAGGGCTGCCAGCTATCTGTTACATACATTTTGTATATTACATTAAATCTACATTAATCTTAAACAAAATATAGATACAAAAATAGGTATGTGTGTATATATACACATATGTGTGTATATATATACACATATTCTAGATATTATGTAAGACCTATAATTATAAATATATAAGACAAGTAATTATTAGAAGAGAAACCTACGATCCTCATTAGAAACAGCAGAAGGCTGAACTTCATTGCATTTACAATATTTTATATCAGGCTGGACAGTGTCGATAATAATTCGTAAATGACACTTTGCACAGACTACTGTAGAGTCACGTAATCTATAAATTCCTTCAATCTCCTGATTATATCTACAAGACAAAATATTAAAAAAGAACATACATATAAAAATACATATAATTTATTTCTATACAAATACTCTTGATAACTACCTATTAATCTCTTCATCACTTATTCTATCACGATCCCAATTGTACATGCTCACACCAGCTGCACTAATCAGAAAGTTTTTGGCATTCTTAGCGAGTCTGAGCCTCCAAAGTCGCATGAACTCCCTTAATGCTACCTCATCCCATATTCTCGTGTAGAGATGGAATATCTGTATGTGCCTCCTGACCCGCTGGGCCGCCACAAACTCAAACTGCCGCTTGCAAGCCTGGGCCACCTGTGTGCCCTGCTCCCGGAACCACGAACTTATTTTCTTGCGATAGCTGCCGAGTTTGCCGCGAGTCTGCGTCCTTGAACCGCATTGTTGGAAAATGAGTGCTAATCTACTGCTGCCTCCGCCACCGCTACTACAACCACTGTTAAATCGTCGGAGAGCATGACCGGTCAGCTTCCACGTGTACATCGTTCACGGCTATATTACAAATTTCTCGCACGACAAAGCGCGATCGGTGTTCTTCCAGTCTCATCTACAGCCTCCCGCTCCGTTTACTGCGTAACACGTTCGTGCCGGTCACGGTCTTCTTCGTTTCCTCGTCGCCGAATCAAATTTGGAATCTGGAGGAGTAACGTCCTCTCGACCGAGGTCAGCACATAATTAATCGATCGCCGTAAGGCCGATCGTATGAAGAAATCACTGTCCGCGACACATAACCGCACGTACGTATATACATAACCATCGATCGCGGAAGCCGAGACTGGAACACCAGAGCAGAAGAGCAGTTGCGCGAGCATGTGCCGGTCGCGATCAGAGCGCGCGTGTCGCGGGGAACAGCCAATCGGCTCGCGGGATTCGAATTTTCAAGGACGATCACCGCGAAAGTTCGCGTCAACTCCCTCCGATTTTTTTCTCGAAAGGAAACGATACTCGTTCACGGGAATTCACGTTTTTATTTATCGTCGCGACATCGAACACGAGCGAAAAGAATTCGACTTGTTTTTAAACGTGAATCGTTAAAGAACAATCACGTGACTTCGCGCGTCGTCTGACGTCACATGGTTCAATGTGACGTCGCTGCGCGAGCGGCGATCGGTCTCATGGATCAACCATACAGTTTTTCATGCGTATTTTTTTTTTCTTTTACTGTTTTTCCTCGCAGCGCGATGTAATGCTGTCGACAATCGGCGAAATAAATCTGATAAGTGATAATCAAGAGACGAAAATCAAGAGAGACGCGATTCATCCACGGGGATCGCGTCTCATACAGGACATTTTGTTCGAGAGAACATCCTTAGGAACATCATCTTATCTGTGGGAGATATCTTCTGGACGTCTTTACAATATCTCTTGAAGGTCTGTGCTGGATATTGTACGGGGTAGATCGAGGCATAGGCGACGCGATGCATGTGATTGGCACAGACGGAAACATTTCGGATATCGTTTTTTTATTAACGTTTTATCAGTTACAATTTTGATTACATACACATAATGTGGAGTCGTCTTTAAACACACGGCTGCTATGATACAAATGACGAGGATAAAAATTTTTTTGGAGTGCGTAAAAATGTGATTGGATGACAATTCTCGCTCTTTGCTTCTTTTATCTTTCTCCCTCTCCCATCCCCCTTCCAATCCTACTCGTCTCCCGCTTTATTTTTTTTTCTTCCCTCCTTCGCTACTTCATTGGTCATGGCGATGGGCCAACCTTTGAACGTATATTAATATAATATACCGTGTTTCTCTGGCCCATGTCCACACTAGAGTACAAGGGTAGGTAGGTGGAGGGTTTGTGATATCCTTGAATCGCGCAATTAAATCGTCCCTAATTCGCTAATATTTTACACGCAACGGTCGGTGCGCGATCGTCGCTCGAGACTGGATTCTGGATTAACGATCCGATCGACCCGGCCAATCTCAGGACTGCGCGTTTCTCGCACCGAGACCACAGAGAGGCACCAGGAGACCTCGGCGCCCAAATTCAGAGGACAGTATTTACAGAGGGAATTTACGGAGCAGCAGTCCGGGGTCGGCAAACGTGTGTCCCGTCGCGAGGGATATTACGTTTGCACGGAACAGTTATACGTTCCTCGTCTCTTGCTCGTCCACATCTTGTTCATAAAAACAAAACTGATTTAAAAGATGTCTGAGGAATATCCGAGAAGCCAAGATATCTTTTAGATTCTCGTGCAACTCAAAGAAATGCAGAGAGAGGGAGAGAGAGAGAGAGAGAGAGAGAGAGAGATGCACCGACAGCCTTGATTAATTAATTCTTTAATCATGACTGGTGCAAATAGAAAATGTAATTTTCTATTTAAATTAATAATTGAATACAAATAAAAGTTAGCATTGTTCTGTACCGACAGAATTTTCGATTAAGCAGCCTCTGTGAATACTCTCTTCTTCGATTATAATTTTTTTTAATACTAATTAAAAATGGAATCGTAATGATTATTGAGAGAACATATGTAAAATGTTCAAGGGTGTTCACTCTGAGGTAAAATCGTTTCTTGTTCTTACGCGCGATTAAAGTTTGAATTGTGCTTACAGCCGGACGTGTATGATTCAGATGCAAGGACGAAGTGAAATTTCGGGGAAATGCCAGGATGCAATGACGCGAGAAAAGGTCCTCTGAATTTGGAACATTAACGGTAGGTTGCCTTCGCATATGTACGTCGTGCAGCGACGAGTGGCACGTCTTCTCCTTTCTTTCTTTTTTCGCCATTATGACACATGACTGACGATTTGTCAACAATTATTTGGAATATTATTTTTTAGGTAAACAGCATCGGAGTGGACAACGGGATGAAATGATAACACTCTAGCCTACAAAAAAATCTTTTTTCCGATGTTGGATCGAAATTAGGTATTTGCACGCGCACGCGAATAGATTTTTAGATACTAAAGTATCTTGAATTTATAAATTTATATAACAGATCAGGATTTCAAAAACAAGTTAAGTAAAATTTTTAAGACAAAATAAAAGCATAAATTGTATACAAAAAATGCATATATTGCATATTTTAGTATGTATTTAGTCACATTTAGTCGTATAAGTCATATAAATGAAAAGTATATAAGATTTTCAGCATGTAAAGATCTATATAAAATCTATACCATCAAGAGCATAAAAAATTTTTTGTAGACTAGTGTAATCGATCTAGGATCGCGCGGCGTGATACACGATCTCCGTAACGCTAATCTAGTTCTCCTGAGACACGATCGGTGAGTGTGATATGCAATTTGATTCGTAGAGAATTTAAAATCCTGCGTAAATCGCGTAATAACTGAAGCTTTCATTCAGAGAGCGGTGCAAACCACTCGCTTTACGATGAGACGATCTTTCCAAGTGTACGAACAATTACAAACTTGGCGAAGATTTATCTAACAATAGTACTGGATATCGAGTATTCTCAATATTTGTACTCATTTTGCCTTTTCTATATAAAAATGAAAACATTCGCGAGGAGTCTCCGAAGTCAATGCGATTATTTTGAATATTGAAAGGTTTAAACAGTTCGATCGACTCAGTTCAGTTATTCGACTACTAAATGCTAAAATGAGGAATTCTGACTCTGCGAAGATTAGTCCTACGACATGGAAATTCGCTCGATGTAGAATCAAATCGGCGAAATAAAAAAACGGCTAATAATGATCACGGTAGTTATTCGGCTGCTCAGTCCAAAGGTCGCGAATAATTTTGAATACTTTCCTTCTTCTTAAGCCTCCTCCTCTTCTTAAACCAAAACATACTCGAGATCTTTCCGACCTAGAAACCGAATTATTGTGTGATGAAGATTTCTGTACGCGAAATTCATACACGCATAATCATTTTTAATTACATCTTCGGATAATAATTCTAATGAAATGTGATGAAAAAGTACTTAGAACAAAAACGACAATCCTATTTAAAATAGAGAAAGAAATAACTAATGGAAATTTTTAGCCTCGAAATTGTTCTGTGGTCCTCCCTTTCAATTTTCTGACAAAATACCAATCATTCCACCATAGATCACGTATCATTAATCAAGCACCGATTCAAAGGGGGTGAACGAGTCAATTAAATGAACAGAGTACTCGCGGCACTCGCAAACGCTAGATGAATAGTACGTTTATTAACAGACTATCAAATATTAATCGTGAATTACAATGACATCGCGGTAATACGACAAATGTCATTCGTGCTAAATCTTGTTGAATAGAAATTAAGCTAATCGAGCGCTTGCTGTTTATCAGCCAGTGGCTTCGTGAATCGCGCGCGATATGCACGATCGCAAAAGGTTTAATTGAACGTTATCGTTTTAGTACATTTAATGATGCAGCTTACCACGAGAATCCGATGCAAATATATTCAATTTCCCCGCTGCGTGTAATTATTTGACATGAACGCGAAACTTCCGTCCGTTAGATAAAAGAAAGACACAAGGCTTAATAAATATCGATCGATTTTACTGATAAAATTTATATCAAAATTACATCAAATTAAAATTGATTTTAAAAACATGATTTAAAAAAATTTTAATTTTTGTTAATTCGATTTCTATTAATTGAAAAGGATTTCATGATTTTCAATAACTACGTTAAAAGAACATACAAATTTATTCTAAAATTCTATACTGAAAATAATAAATATGTGTGAGATAATAATCAATAATTATAAATATAATACAGATACATATAAAAGTAGTGAAATAAAAATTCTTAAAATATTAATCTTCCACAAGCGAATGCTTTATTCGAAATTGCGTTATTATGCAATGTGCAAATCAAAGATAATTTCAGCCAAAATAGATGGAAATAGAATGATTCATTATCGAAATTGCAACAGCCCTTTGAGTACTCGCGAGTGCTGAGAATCGCGCAACAAAGACTGTAATTAATGCAAATTTGCATTAATTAATTAAGAGTGATACGCGTATCAACGACCTTTTGGAATGTATTACGCGTGTCTTTCACCCTCGTTATAAGCTATAGTCGCGTATTTCATGCGGAAACGAGAAGCACGACTTTAAAAGCAAGCGTGTTTAAATGTCATTCTGGCAATTTTCCTGCCATCGCCCACACGAGAAATCGTATTTATACCAACATTTGAGATATTCTTCTTCGACGGCTTCCACAAGAAGCCGTTTTCACATTTCGCGAATATATTTGAAGAAATATTAAAGAAAAAGGAAGAAAGAAGTGATATGAAATCAAGAAAAGTCGCATTTTTCGCAGCTTAATGCTTAATTCCGAAAATACTCCGATGTAATGATCACTCTAATATGACCAATACATTCGCTGAATTCGCTGAGAATCCGCAGTCCATCCCTGCTTCGCGTAATTTAACACTCGTATGTGTATATTATCACATACGGCGATAAACGAGAGCTTCAGATGTTCTTTGAACGAATTTTTTTCTCGTTTCAGAATTCTTATTCAAAGTTAAAATCATTTTTGGCTACAGACGCGGCCGAATTTGTGCGTGTGTGATATACCTCATTTAGCATCGTGGCTGTTCTGAATTCTGTTTCGAAGTGCATCGCCGATTATTCGAACGGAGCAGCTAAGATTTGCTTGATCCTTCAATCGAAATACACACTCCGAAGACAGAATTTACGCGGATGTTTAAAAAAAAAAAAAAGAATAATCTAAAATAAAAAAATAATGTAAACGTTATTTACTCAATATCTATCTAGTTTGTTCCAATGTTCGAGGACCAATCTCAGAGTCAGCTAGCTAATTCGGCGCGCTTAACCGCTAATTAAGTGGTTCCTTCCTAAAGCGGAGATAAAGATACCGCGATTAAAGTTAGTAATCATCGGCGAAACTGTTCAACGGTACGCCTCACGACTGTTCCTTCCCTGTGAATGTGACTAGTTTGACACTGCGGAATGTTCGAAGATTTGCGCGTCGCAGCGAGGCGACGTTAATCGCGCCTGACAAAAGCGTTACAGATCGGAACGAAGATCGTCGGGAATAACATGTCCTTTCCTTATATGGAGGGCGAGTCGTGCCGCTCGAGGCTGGGCGATGCACTTTCTCCCGGCAAGGATTTTTAAGTTTCCATACGTTCGCCGCCTCTCCGCGCGACTTCGCCGGAACGTTACGTCGTGCTCACTTCGTACTTTCGACTTCGTCGCGCGGATCGGCCTGCTACTTTCGAGTTTCGGCCCTAGGCCCGTGGGGCGTATTATAATTTCCGGCTTTTCGTGTGTGCTTCGCTAACAATTAAAAATTTGTTCGCCTATTACTTATCATTTCGTGTATTTTTTTGTCGTTTAAATTCAATTCACATTATTAGGGTATAATAATTAATTAATTAATTAATTAATTAATTATAATAGTGTCATTATAATTCGTAATAATATACAACATTTGTCAATAGATCATTTATGCTAAAACCCACTGCATGCTCGTGTCGAAATCACTCGCGTTCTCTCTCACGCTCTCCCGCGCATGCACGCATTATACGTGCGTGCATACATCGGACATGCATACACATGCGCTCTCTCCTCCTCTTTCTCTCTTTTTCACTCACACTCTCTCTCTCTCTCTCTCTCTCTACACGCTTAAATGTATTTCACGAAGTACACCTTCCACCTACTTTCGCACACTCTCACGCCGTGGGACTGTACTGGCTTCACGCGTGGCTTATCTAACTAATTCTTGATTTAAGTGTGATTTCGGGGTATATGTGAATGTGTTATGCGTGTGCGCGTATAACTGCGTGCACGTCGACACGCGTGCGTGTCGCCCTTTTTTTCTCTTTCCTTTAAGATTACAAGCGACTCGTCTCTCTCGTTCTCGGTGTACATTCTCATATGTAAGCTATACATACGTGTGTAGCCTACTTTGTTGCGATAAAAAGGAAAGGAAAGATATAAAATCGATGTGCGGCAATATCTTTTCGTTAGAAATCGAAGAAATAACGAGAAAACGTTTGCAGATGACGTTTTCCTCTCGGGGAGAGGGAAAGAGAGAAAGATTGCGCAAATCGTACTCTGGTATTGCGTGCATACGTGTGTGTTTGTGTGTACATGTATACGCGTATGAGAGACAATGATCTTTGTACATATTTTAAAATGTATTCCCGCGCGATATCGACATGTCGAAGATGCTCTCGCCTGGGGAAGATGCAGAGTTCACGGACGTGACGAAATGCCGACGTTTATATGCATAAATCGCCATTGCTACCACTCTCCTACTATTCCCTCAATAAAATCCAATGAACGGACAACTTTGATCCATTCGCTCGTAGATTCCCGAGAGTGATTCGATTCAAGAATCTCGCAGCAAAACGTTTGTTCCCCATTCTTTGGATTACAGTCAAACAAATAGCAACAGAATGAAATGTACAGAATTCAAATTTGAGCTTTACAGAATAAAGGGAACCAAAAGTTAGAAACTTTCTCTGTGACTCTGCGATGGATCCGTTCTGTGATCGATTAATAATAATAATGTGGAAACAGTGCGCGCAAGTGTCACGACATCGACGCGGAATATTTGCAAGAGTAGAACGGTTCGTGAATTGCTTATGCGTTCGTGCATTCTGTGTATGTTATACGCGAGGAGCTTGTATTCCAAAATCGAAGCAGAGCTCGTACCTACGTCGTGCTCGAATGATAACGTTGATCATGCGGAAAGAATATCAATAAATCGCAGTTCGTGTGATGTACAATAATTAAAACTAAAGCGATGTTCCCCTTTCTTACATTTCGACGCATGTGTAACTTCGAATCTCGTCATTGCAAATGCTCTCCTTCCGACAGACGCATAATATATAAAAATATATAAATCGTCTACAAATTAATATCAAGATCCTATTATATTATTTTAGACTTTTTTAAAATTGGAATAAATTATCTGTAATGATGAGGCACCGCGCAAACACAAATCATTCGAAGATCTGAGGGGCACACTAATTGTCAGGAGATATTAATAAGAATGATTTTAATAAAGAGTGTATCTTTAAAAATCTTATAAAAATTATCTGATCGCTAAAAGAGGGGAACATAATGAATCACAATAATATAAAATATAGGAACATATGCGACGCATATAAACAAAATGAGGAACATATATATAATGTTTGAACATAATACGCAAGGAACTTTATTCAAAGATTTACGTGAATATATCATACGTGTTCTTGTGTGCCTTCGTTTGACATATATCGTATAATGTATCGAATAAAATGATAAAATGATAAGATGATAATGATTCTATTGTCGTCGTCAAAAGAATCTCGTTAAAAATGAAAACACAATCGGATTAGTGTGAACGTAAATCATTCACTTAAATATGTAAAATAAAAGGTCATATACATCGTAAGACGTGGGTACGTGCTATGCTACGTGTCGTACCGCAATGTATTCTAAACATAAAAAGGCTTGTTTATACAAATATTAAAAACACTTTAACAATTTTTTTCTTGCACTGTGGGAATTAATTCCGTGTCATCCCGATTTTGAGAAAATTTTATACTTAAGTTATACATATCCGTATTGAACCTTTGGAACGGAGTCTCTCTTATATGTTAGTGCAAATTTTGCAGTAACATATAAGGTTCCACAGTTATTCTTATATTTTCCGTGGTTCATCAAATAATTATTATTATATATAGTAATAAGAAAGGATAAAAAAAAATTCTACAACGAGAGCTCTCGGGACAAACAACGAGGCTGTGCGTTGGCGTTCGGTCGGTTCCCGTGCTTAAAAATCTTCGAGTCGAAGGTGACTCTATCTCCCTTTCTCTCCCTCACTCTTTCTCTATCTTCGTTTACTCGCATCCTTTCATATTCATTTTCTCTTTCTCTTTCTCTCTCTTTCTTTCTTCCATGTACGCCGGATACTGTCACACCATGCACTCTGCCTAACTTGCACACTGACGTTTGCACAAATACTTACTTAATATAGCTCTTACAATATTTTTATATATATTCATTTATTCTATTAATTATATCAATACTGTTGACGGATAGAGATTCATTCACAGTCGCACCAGAGCGGATAATCGTCTCTGATACGCGTGGCGTTAACATCCCTTTTTCTCGCTTCTTCGTTTTCATTTGCAAGCGATTTTCACCGCCCAGTCACATTATTTCACCTTTCATATTTAACATAATTTTTGACATAAAGTTTTTATCACACTCTAAAACACTCCTATATCCCGAAGATCACCGTCCGTCTATCCGCACGGTGTTCCGATGCGATATAGTGATCCACGAATGAACGAGTGCAATGGTCGCTTCTATTTTTTATATGCTTCTATCATCCAGTTTTTCCGCGACCTTCTCGTATCTTCGTGGTGAACTCGGAAACACCGCGCCACCTCCCCTTCGTTCGAGAATTAGAAAAACTTTAAAAACTCGAGCAGATACCGCCGCACATTGTTCGTCCTCGACAGCATCTTCATCCTCGACAGCATCGCAGCATCAACGACGTCAGCGGGTTGTACAACAATTTGGCGCGAAATTTATCTATCGATGAATCAGAACACTTTTGCATCGGCACAAACACATCTCTCGCTCACATCGAGTTCTATTGTTTCCTTGTCCGATTCTTTCATTTTTCCGCGCAAATGACGTTCCTCTATTACGTTCTGCTAAGTGTAATCATTTGTGACCACGCTGCGCGAAGAAATACTCTATCTGTTGAAGACAGAGCAGTTGCTGCACCAGGCTCTGTAGCGGGTCCTGGCCCGGCTGGAGTTGGCCTTGCTGCTGCCCTTGAAGCCCCTGCGGCTGCATCAAGCCTCCACCAGTAGACTGAGCAGACGTAGGCGGCAGCATCGTGGTGCCCGATCCTGACTGCTCGGCCAATAACTGTCGTTGCAGCTGTTGCGCCTGATAATGAGCCATCGCCATCAATTCCGAGGACTCCATGCCCATTGAAGCGGCGGCAGCGGCGGCGGCGGCGGCGGCGGCGGCCACGTGACCCAACTGCGGATGCTGCTCCGGATGATGATGGCCTGGTGCTGCTGTTGGCAAGCCGGGCTGGCAGGCTAGCGCCGGAAGCATACCGACATGCGACGATAACCTGCCAGTCATAGAGCCGGCCGCAGAGGCCAAATAGGCGGCGGCAGTGGGGAGGCTAGGATTCTCGCCCCGCTAGGGAGCCACGTTCTTGGGCCTGCGCCCCCGTCGCCCCCTGGTGGGGGGGCGCGGGGACTCCTGGCCTCACTGGCTCACCGCGGGGCTCTTCTTGTCTTGCTGCTGTTGACTGGCGTCCTGCGTCCCCTGAACACCTGCGGCTGCGCCCGCTTGACCACCCTGGACTCCCTGCAGCAGCACACATATATGTATGTGTGCATGCATCAGACCAAAGCACATCACAGCATGATCAAAGCACACCATAACGTGATGTGCTTTAATCTCATGCACGTTATGATGTGCTCTGACTAATATCTTGAAATTAATATATTTTTTTCTTCTTAAACTTATTTTTCTTTAATTTTCTCGAGATCAATATCTTTAGTATAGATTTCTTCACAAATCATATAATTACATCGATTTTGAAATTCAGAAGTGATTGTTTCAATGATTAAATCACTTATTTTGATCAGAATTATTTTGATGTGGAATTGATTCTCTGATAAGACTTGAAACTTGTGTATTTATCCATTTTATCTGCGAATAGAAAGAAAATATTTTTTAAGTTTTTCATTTCATTGCGAAAAAATGATTACCTGACTGCCAGGACCTCCCTGTGGTGGACCAGGGCCACGATCTGGAGGCCAAGAATTACCCGGTGTCGGTTCCGAATGGAACTGATGAGGATGCGGTGGTGGTCCGCCGGTCGCATCGTGACTGTGAGGATCTAGATTATTTGCGGCATCGTACTGCGTATTTTCCAACCTTGTTATTAAACGTTCGTCTTCATCTCCAAATTCGCCACCCATTAAAGAAGGTTCACCCACGACCATCACGTCCTAGATTAAAATAAAGAAACATTGAATTAGCTGCTTCTTGACATTACATAATCGACATAATTGATTGAGAAAATTAAGCGAGAATTTACCTGTGATGCTAGAGAAAAATTTGGCCCTGGTGAGCGCTTTTTGCTGGGCGCGGGAGGTGCGTTGTTGCCCGGTCCCGATGTGCTACCCTTTCGCTTTCTTCTTTTGCTAGCCGGCCGCTGAGATTCTGGAAAAAAACGGACTCGTAAGTATGACATTGCGCGCATTCGTTGGCCACGTTTGGCCACGTGTGTAGCTACACACTGATAAACTTAAGAGCACTACCCAGCTGTGGACCTTTCTCATTATCAAAGGTCTCTGACACGCACAAGCACAAGCATGCATTGATAGACAAACAAATACAGAGACATATGTCAGGTTTATTTTCATTTTTCTTTCACGAGCTACTTTGCACTCTCAAGCGATGTTTACAGAGAAATACGTTTGGTATCATACTATTTGGCAATGTAACACGTGCTTGGTCCCACGGTTTTACTTAACTTGAAACAAATATGAAGGAAGTGATATATCAGAGTTATATAAAATTGTGAATTTAATGGAAAACGCACGCATAAGCGGTGCACGCATAAGCATGATAAAGATTAGCGACAAGCGGGCATTAAAAGCCTTGTCACGCAACGTCAAACATTCGAAAGATAATCGAGTCACTGATGTCAATCGTAATTTGTAAAATAAAAAGTAAATCTGAGTTTCAGCGTCACAGTAACACTCGATCGTAAAATGAGTTAAATGTTTAAATTCGATCAATGAAACAAGCGACGCAAGATTGTGAAATAGGAAAGTGCATTTAATTGCTGGAGGATTTCGAACAAAATCGCTAAGTCTCACGCTTGATAAGAGAAAACCGGTGGAACCAAGAACCGCGGCAAAGCGATGAAGAAAACCGACAACGGACAGTGCATCATTCCGCGAACAGCAAAAACCGATTTCACGTTGTCTATCAGGATCGACCCCCGTTCGACTCCACTGGCTGGTGCTTCTCATGTAAAGCAACTGTTCGTCTACCTCTCTTACCCGGCGGGGCAACTATCCTCTGCCATTTCTGGAACAAGGTGGTCTTCAGACAATCACGTGGTGACAAAGCATATGCCTTGTGCCTCGACATCAGTTCCTGCATTGGCTCCAGAATCACGCATAACTGTAAAAAATTCATCATATGAAGAGTCCAATGCTGATAAAAAAAGAATTTCTCTGCTCAACTTCAAGCGTACAAAATTTTTTCAAGTTTGAACGTACGAGGAACGTGCAATAAAATTTTAATGATAATTTTAAATAATTCTGATATATTTAACGAAAATTAAAATAATTTCTATGAATTTCTATGATTTTAAAAAATTCAAAGAACATTTTAAAGCTATTTCTATCAGCTTATTTTTCTCGTTTTATATATATTTTTTTTTTCATACATTTTCAATTCAAGACTTGTAACGTCATACATCTTCGTTTGCATATTGTTACATTACGTTACGCGACGAGTAATAAAAGATGAATAACATAATTATCACTTAAAGAACGACTGAAGTTTCACACGATGACGACACACATCTTCGTCCATAAATTAACCGACGCCCATTTTCGCCGACGGCTTCGTTTGCGTGGCGAAATTATTCGAGACGCGGCCCGCTCTTACGCGTTTCCGAACATCGTGCATCAATCCAACAATGGGCGAGGACTTTCCCGTGACCGACGTAACAATCGTCGGGCTTTTCAATCGGCTTAAGACGATACACGGCGGAATGCGCGGCCGCCCCCTCCGGTGAAAGCGCTTCCGAACGCGGAAAGAAGGTAGCTCGTAACCCGGATAGCTGGAAATACTTTCGAGAAGGTAAGCGTACGCCATATTCTGACCTAGCTCCGTATCGACACACCTCACCGCCACAATTTACTATCTACACGTTCACGATCTTTTTTTCATAATAAATCAATGTGTGCTATATATTACTTCTTTCTTTTCTCGACGATGACTCGCATATATTTGCACATATTAGCTGCTGCACGTTGAATATAATCGTGTCATCTTTCATTTTTCATTTTCAAACCCGCGACGTAAACATCCATTTCAAAGGTCTTCGCGTACGCGAAAAATAATAAAGGTAACTTGATTTACATCTATCTTTTGTCCGCAAGTTTCTCGAACTCGCTCGCCTCGTTAATAATTTTCTATCATTAAAAAGATTTAACAGAAACGAGAAAATTCTGATTCAATTTGGACGCGATTTAGTACCGAGGCAATATCAATATAGAGCTAAGACAGTACTTGCATTGCGGGGAATACGTACTCTAAGGTAGTTGAGAGTAAAGTTGGACATGCCCTGCCTGGTGATATTTTTGCTAATCTGCTCAAGCACCGTCGGGTCCTGCTGCATACCGACAACGCTCCTCGGCACCAGCTCTCGATGCGTCCTGACTGACATATGCCACGACTTTATCCTCATGAGGTCGTCGAAGGTGAACTCCAATATTAACCTACCCTCCGTTAATACCTAAAATAAGTTTTAGATGACAATATGCGCCTCAGCTATTTCGAGAAAGCTTGATTTCGTGCGTTACCATGGAGATAAGTCGCAGAACTTAAGCTTCCTGTTAGGAAAGAGTTTTACAAAAATTACGGAGATCCAATTAAATTTTAATTCTTTTTCTTTATATCTTATTTTCATATATAAGAAAAGACACAATCAACTTTTCCAATTGTGTCAACTTCAAATATGATACGCATGCGCGTAACAATTCTTATAAATATAATTTATTTAAAAAATATAAAAATATAAAAATAAATTTTTCTGATCATTTTTATTTGAATTATCAAAGTATACGATCATTTTTTTTTTTCAGTTTATTGTAATTGTTCCAATTATTTTCGTTTAGATCAACAATTAAATCTTAAATTTGATAATTTAAAGGATAAGTTTTTACTGCAAACGCAATAAGTCCCGTAGGATTGCTCATACCTTAGTGTACATCGGTTTCCCGTACTGCGTGACCATCGTACACTGATCACAGTCCAGCGTTATGGTGGTGTTATGAAACGACTCCTTCTGATTTTTCAGAGTGTAGTAGAGTTCCGTCACTCCGCCATCGAATATCGAACGAAAATACCTAGGTATTAACGTCCTTCCTATCGCTGAAAGGATAAAGATGGAAGCGATTAGAAATAAATACAAGCAACGTGCTGCGAGAAAGGCAATACGACGACTAGATCGATTGCTCTATGTTAGGTACGATATGCTCTCACAATATATAATGCGCATACTTATGCAAAATTTATATGCCTTCGCGAACAGTTAATGAGCAAATAAGGCAAACTACCTCATTTAATTTCCGATCATCATCATTCAATTTAACACAAACTTTCATCACGAAAAATAAAATTTATAGCGTCAAGAAAGAATAAAATGTTTATAGTATCGAGAAGCGAGGTAAATATAAATTAAATCGAAGGTCGAAAAAAATCAAGTCAAGTGAGAAATATTCTTTTCTTTTTAATTACAAAATGCATTTTGCATTATCGCGTTCCTGCCGGGTGCGTCTTGCTGCGCGGACGCCCTGTCGTTTATACCCGGATGACGATGACATGCATCCGCGCGACATGTAATCACGTTGTCGTCGTATATTTTCGAGACGGTGTGTGGGAACAGACATTAAAATCCACCGACTGCAAGATTGCCGCGCGGTGGCACGTCATTATTTAGAACACAGGCGGCACCGCGCGAGCTTGCCGACGATTAAGTATCGGTGACAATGAATCGTGATATCGCCAAGATGTAAGAAATTATCTCGTGCTGGCGGAAATCGATTGCATTAACGTAGATAACGATATGTAGATATACGTAGGAAGAACTTTATTCAGGAGTTTATCACCTTGCTTCCCAAAAAGATATTCTACTTCTATTTCTACCAGTTCTTTTCCCATTCTCTTCTCGAAAATAAAAGATCTTCGTGTTATTCGCAGTGAGAAATTCTTCGATTGGAGCTATACCGAAAGAAATGAACGTCTTTTATTTATTAAAAAACAAACTTTCTTATTAATTAAGAATAAAATTTTGCTTGCTCATTGATCAAAGATATTGATTTTCTAATATATGATGATAATTGGGTTCCGATTGAACCTCATCATATTGATCTTATCATAATAACATTTTTAAACATTTCTTTAATTCAAATCTGTATGAAACATGAATGCGATCAAATAATTGATGGTACTCACAATATCTCTTCGGTCCGTCTTCCAAACACACGTGGAGGGTGAGGGTGGCATCTTCCTCAAAGAACTCGTTTGCAAAGGACTCCCACCAGAGATTGTCACTATCCTGAATATAACAGATAGACAAAGAAAGAATTAACTTACGTACAAAAATCTCAGTAAATTTTATCGTCGACATGCATTTTATCATCGTTTATCACGTTATAATCGCACTGATGAATTTTAATTTTCCGTTTCTGATTCGCACTTATTTTATAAGTTGCGAATCAGAAACGGAAATTAAAATTAGGTGGAGAATGGAACCAAAGTGCGACAAGATGAAGAGGAGTGACTGAAGAGCGGGTACTTTCTCCTCTTCAAAGACTCACACAGAGGAGAGAGAGAGAGAGAGAGAGAGAGAGAGAGAGAGAGAGAGACGTACGAGAGAGAGGAGAGAGAGAGAGAGAACTTGTACCTCGACGCTGAATAACGCATGACTGTCTGGCTTGAAATTATAGCATTCTACCCCCTCCCAGTCGTAGGAACTACCCCTTGGCTCTGTTCGCCACGCTTTCATTCAATTATGCATCCACCACTATCCCCCTCGCATCCCTCTGCTTGGTCCACCTACACCCAAACCCCGCAGGCGCTCCTCTTATTATTATTTTCCCGCGTGTGGCTCGGTCGTCGATTTTTCTTACATCCGAAAAATCGTCTTTATCGATGGCTTTTTACAATCGTGATTTTAGAAAAAACTAAGAGCATAGCGAATTGTTTCACGATCACCCGAGATTGTTCGACAAATCTGAAGAATGATAAGTCAATCTCTTAGATGCACGATCTAGTTTTTACTTAATCCAGCTATTGCATTATGTAACTTAATTGAAAGTTTTATTAATTGAACGTTTTAATTGAACGTTTTTGTATTTATTATGAAAAGTCAACATTATTAATAAAAGTGTTAGTAAAACGATATTTTTCGAATGAGAAAATCCTTCAGCGATATTACACTATTAAATTCACAAAGTGTAATAAGAACATAACAAATTAAAGTGTGAACATTCTATATTTTTATCTTTTTAAGAAATTTCACTCTAGAAAAGAAAGAAAATAAAAGATTAAAAATAGATCGATATAGATAGATTTATAAACGCTTCATTACTTTCGATAATATTACATCTTGCAATTTTATATAACATTTTATATAACATTATTTGTACTTTTCTTTACTAATGTGCCGATATTTATATCCACTTATAAAAAGCTAGGTAGTTAATGATCAATTTATTCCAGAATCAAACAGGTATACGCAAAAAGGGAAAAAAAACTTTTGAGAAAAACAGTATGAAAAATTCTGGAGTAAAACAGAATGTTGAATGACGTTGGAATGACGTGCATTCCAAAATATCAATACACAGTCCGAGTCGGATTGTTTTCTGAGTAAGTTTACTTCTGCGACAGAACGTTCATTGTCGCAACAACAATTACCGTGTTTGCCGTTTTAATTTATTATGCACACCTATAGCCGCGCTTGTCAATGGGCACCTTTTAATTTTACATCAGGGAATAAACTTGATTTTAGCATAACGGCAGAACCGAGCATTATGGTATTAGCGAGTTTAAGGCAAATGATCAAACAAGACTTAATCGCTTTTCACACGAAGAAAACACGTTATTTTTCTTTTTTTTTTTTTTCTTTTATTGAAATATCGATCGGAGATAAATAAGTTGCGAATCGAGACGCGGGAATAGAGATATCGTCCGCGAAGCCACGGGACGAGTGCGCCACTCATGTCAAATCCGCATAGACAATCGGTTTCCGGGGCGGGTACCGACACACTGCACTCGCGGAGATTTATTTCGGACGTAAGCTACGCCGTGCCAAATCAAGCAAACTGTTACCACTCCCGCGCAAATTGATATTTCTGGCAAGCGCGCCTCGATCCCGGACGGAGGGAAGGCCGGGACGGGAGCAGGAAGGAAAAGTCGGCGAAACAGTGACGCGATAAGCGTGACGGAACGAGCAAGAAGACGTTGCTCGACAAATAGACGATATTCAATAATGTGAGAGAAGAGCGGCCGTCGGGAAGAAAAATGCCTCCCGAGGCCGTCGAGCCGTACCGCTCGACCGCCACCGGTGTATTTCGTAAAATCATTCTAGCGACGCGATGAGAGATCAGCATTTGCGCACGCGATATGAGTTCTGTCATAGGTCTAACATGAATGACATGCGCTTCGATACATGTGCGATACGTGTAATCTGTTCCGACGCAGTATGTACAATGCGTGGATACGCGAGGTGCCACGAGAGAGAGAGAGAGAGAGAGAGAGAGAGAGAGAGAGAGAGAGAGAGAGAGAGAGAGAGAGAGAGAG